GTCATTCCTCCGCACTCCCATGCGGTCAGCGGGTGCACCAGTTCCATAAAAGATCGAAATCTCGAGGTAATCTCGAGGTAATCGGACTCGGTGCCCGGCACGTCCCAGATTCCAGCCATGCCCCGCGTCAGCTGCAGATTCCAGCCATGCCCCGCGTCAGCTGCAGATTCCAGCCATGCCCCGCGTCAGCTGCAGATTCCAGCCATGCCCCGCGTCAGCTGCAGATTCCAGCCATGCCCCGCGTCAGCTGTGGCGTGCCTCCCCTCCCCCCTCCTCTCTGTCGGCGTGCCCCGGCAGGCTCGGTCGCCCGACACACCCATCCCAAACATGGTTCGCGGTGGGTGCCGCCCGGCACAAGGGCGCAGCCGACCTCGGCAACGACTGCCCCCGACGTCACGGCCGGAGGTCAGCTGGAGAGGCGGTTGGAGACTGTCTGGTGTCGCTGACTGAGCTGTGGGGGTGTGGCCGCGCTGCCGACAGCGCAGCCGGGGGACTGGGACACCGCGGCTGGCATAGCCAAACGCAGCCGAACATTCACGGCCGATGCAGGAGCATCTGAGTGACTGACAGTGCCCTAGAAGGTGCTACACTCTCCGTCTTCGTTCATTCTTTTAAATACTTCTGAATGCTCACTCTTCGCTCTCCTAAATAACGCTCCCTGCGCTGCCTTACATCGTGAGCTTGATTTGAGGGCGTACATTCGCGGCTCTTTGCTCCATTGCATCGTGCCCCGACTGCAACTCAAGTGCCAGGGAACTGAGTACGACCCTTGACATGGCGGTGCTACATAAATGCTTCAATCTAAATTACTGTACAATCAACGGTCAAAGCTAGTGAGGCATAGGCCTTGAAGTATCATTAATGTTGGGCCGCCTGGGGCACTGCCCTCCAACTTGCCCCTCACCTCAATCCTATAGGCCGCACGTGATCCGAGGGCCTTAAGTGAGCCTAAACTAAAGCCGCGCCGAACTCAGTCGCATGGCCGTGCCCGCAGGCCCCGACTGCTGAACGAGCAGCCCCCAGTCAACAGCAAGGCGTGGGACCACGGAACAAACGTCACCAGAGCAGCCTAACAGCAAGGCAGCCGACCACACAGGGTTCGGGCACCCGCAGGATTGACAGGCGCATATATGCAAGCTCGGGCCATTCCAGCACCGAATCTGGAGGGGGAAATGGGTGCTCATCCATGACCTTTGTACGGGGTATTGACATAGTTGTCAAAAAAACTGTGCGATAATACACTGAGAGGCGCAGAAACTCACACTGAGAACGGATTGCAGAGCCAGAGAATCTTCTGAACAACCCGTCGGTGGGCACGGCGATCTGTTCAGCCGGATTGGTGGACGGCCAGGCTCTCGTACGTGCGCGGTTAGCTCAGTATCACGGGTGCATAGCGTGGCAGGCAACGGTGGCTGTGCTTTATCAACATGCGGTGTAATTTACGCCGTCGTCTAATTCTGCATTGAATGGGACCTTCTGCGACAGCTTCGCCAGCCCTCTACGGCAGCTTCGACAGCTTTCTACGCCAACTTCGGCAGTCCTCTGCGGCAGTTTCAAAGCTGTGCGACGTGACACTCCTCCCACCAGCTTTCCTCGGCACTCTCCACTTTAGCCCAACAGCACGACAGCCGACGACGCTGCCTGCCTCAGCACAGTGTGGGTCGGTAAGCCGGCCGGGTGGCTCCTGGCAGGCGCTCGCCCCCGCTCCTCCTCGGCCGCCGCCGCGCCGGCCGGCGACGGCTCCCGGCTGTCCGACAGTGTCAGGGTCAACCACTTCGCTGGCGGGACGGCGGCCGACGGCGGCGCGGCAGCTCGCGGCCGAGCGGAGGCCGTCGCGTGGCTGGGGCATCCACCGATGAATGTGAGGAGCATCTGGACCGCTGGGGCGAACGACAAGGTGTCTGTGTGGGTGGGGGTGGGGGGGGAGGGGCATAGGGACCTCTGGGGACGAACACGGGATGAGGTGCAAGGAGGAAGGGGTGTGTTGTGTAGGAAACAACAAAGCAGGGTCTATGCGGAACCCGCTGTGGGGATCTCACTGTCACCGGGGATTTACGACGCACTCAGCTGCTGAGGCTACATGGCGTTGCCTGCCTCCTAGCCTGGCAGGAACGGCGTGCGCCGCGGGGAATAAAACCCGCTCTGAAGCTGAGGTGGGAGTAGAAAGGAATATCGAAACCACTGGAAAACACCGCTTTGAGGCAAAGGTATCGGTGAAGGGGCTTCAAACCTCCGGCGACCGTTGCCAGGACGGGCTCGGTCACATGTCCCAGGCGCGAGTTGTGCGGAGGTCTACGGTGCGGGAGTGTAGCAGCTGGAGACACTGGCAGGGTGCGGCCGGTATACCCGACACGTCCTAGAGCTGACCTCGAATGCAGCTGAGCATCGCCATTACGAGGGTCCAGGCGCCAGGGATTTTCATCATGCAGGAAAAGGATTTCTAGAAAAGGTGCAGTCGTAAAGTTCAATGTGTTATTATGAATCAACCCGAAAGCATGCGGAGGAGTCTTGCGAGAAATTTAATCTTTTTGTCAGCCACGTGGAAAATCATTGATCGGCCAACACAATCAGACCTTGTGGAGGGCCCCATCCTGCTAGATCGCGAAGTAAAGCACGCTACGAGGACGCGTCATTCGGTACCTCTGCTTGTCACGAGGAGCCCAGCTCAGGACGGAGCGTCATCCGGTACCCCACACATCACGCGGAACCTATCTACGGTCGTAGCGTCACCTGGTGCCACCACCACCACACATCACGCGGAACCCAACTGCGGACGTAGCGTCACCTGGTGCCACCACCACCACACATCACGCGGAACCCAACTACGGACGTAGCGTCACCTGGTGCAACCACCACCACACATCACGCGCAGCCCAGCTGCGGACGGAGCCGCTCTCACCGAGACCCAACTCCGACAGCCTCTACCGACTCCCTCGACTCAAGTCGCCTGACTCGCAGGCGGTGACTCGGGTCGAGTAGCCAGCTGGTCCGGGCGAGAGGCCGGCGAGCAGGGAGTGGCTGCCGCAGACCGGTCCTGACTCGGACCCGGGAGCCGGTGCGGCGTGGCGCCACAGCGGGAAGCACGATGCACCGGATAGTGCGGCCGGTGCCAGTCCTTGTTTCCTCACCGGGAGACGCCGCGGCCGGGTCTGGTGTGGCTCAATTGGGCAACGGCCCGCCCACGTCCTCGTCCCATGCATTTGAGAGTGTAGACGTCGCAGTGGCGTAACGCGGTGGGCGCTTAACGACCGTTTGCGGCTGCTGGCGTATCGTTACGCTGAAGCGGACAAAAATAGTGCACGCGGCGTGTCTTGCGCTGCGGCGGGTGGCGCATGACACGTGGGACTTTGGTATCAAGCCGTTGTCGATTTGCATTCGCCCGAATTGTGGTCGGATAGGGCGATGTCGTCATGTCGGTGAGGGAGGTTTCTGTTCTTTTGGTTGTCTCTGTGTCGTTACGGTGTCATAGTTGATGGTGATGACAATGTCGAGTCACTCTGAGGCCAGGCAATACGATCAGTGCTTCTAGAAAGCATGATATATTTTGCGGTAGGTATATTTCGGCAAAGGCTCGTGGCAGGGGTGCAGTTTCGCAAAATAGTTCGAAGTCGCTGACAGAGGCGCGGCCATAGTTTGCGACGGGATGAAGAAATCGGACGTATCGGAGATATCGGAGGTATCACGACTTGCGATGTGGAAAATATTTTGTTTTGCTATTGATTTCTAGCTGCATTGATAATAATTACACAGTGCAAAAACACTATCAGACCTTAAAAACGCCTATCGGTGCAGCACCTAGCGTATGAATGATGTATTGATGTCGGTCTGCCCTTGTGCCTTGAACAGTTGTTTCAGCTGCGTACCGTACATATTCAGTCGACTATCCGCCACTCCTGCTACTAAATTTCGGTTGTTGGACTCCACGTGTCGCTGCCCATAACAGCATCAATGCGATTTAAATCCACATGTCGCTGTCCATAGCAGCATCGATGCAATTTTAGTCAAGCTAGCTTCTCTCGTCAGCAGCATCCGTAATCATATTCAGTAGTGCCTTGATGAAAAGCTGCGCACTGACATGACAGGATAAGGGACGGGGGAGGTAAAGCCCCATGAGCTCCCCCCCCCTCCCCCCCTGGCTGCGACACTGCTGGCCGGGAAATGAAACGTTGCCAAATCTTCTCTAAAACATACTCAGGAGCCGGTTCGGTCCTCGATTTCATTCATTTCCTTCTTAAAGTTTGGGGATGAGCCTTTCTTTCAACTGGTTAGGAAACTGCACCCCTGGCTCATAGCAGATAACTTCCATCACTCTTTGCTGTAGTTTTAATGGAGTTCGTCAGCAACCGTGTCCACTTACCGGAGATATGGCTTCAAATTTGCGTCAAGGAGAAACACTACGCAAGAACACGTAAGCAGAAATATGACACACAGATCTGGTCTTCCTACTCCAATTTTTCCTTCCCGCAAGCGCAAAGACAGACTCTGCCAGGGATGCATGCAGAATTTCGCAACCCGGGCACGGCTCCCAGTTTATTCACTCCAAAAGCCATGTCTTGCAAGCAGTTCATCAAAATTACATTCCTCCAACTTTTTTACGTATATATTACAATTCGCTATTTCCGACACTGTTTTACACGCACATCATCCACGCAAGAATTGATAAGGGGCAAGAGAGGGGGATGACACACTCCCAGCCCCTCCGCCTCTCATATACGTGCCTGAGCTCCAGGACTGACCAGCGTGTCACGAATTCTGAATTGATGAGCAATTCGTATTTATCACCGCTGATCTCTGGTGGAGGTTCGTCACCGTCACGAACCATAAATGACCGTTGGCGACATGTTTCGCATGAATCACGAATTCCACAAGCTCATGACGTAGCGGCATGCCATCCAGCCAGACAAAAATGCACTCAGCACACAGACACGCAAACACCACACGGCTGCTTCCTCCGTCGTGAGGCTTCCGACGCTCACTGCGCAGAATCCGCACTGGCTTACCTGGTGGTGGACGCCGGAGCGGCGATCGAGTTGGATCCAGGGACTCGTTTCGACCCCCTCACGGAGGTATGAGCCTTGTACCACGACGCACGTGCACCACCCTTCGCCCACCGCCGTGAACTATAGCTAGCCGCCGCCGGGACGAATTTTGCCGAATTCTATGCAGGAGAGCTTTCACTGGGATCCCGACGTACCGCGGCCTTGCTGGAGATGGGCCAATCGGTGCGCGCCTCACAAAACAAGTGGCCAATCACCGGGCACGTAACGGACGGCCGAAGGTGCTTGGACATGCAAGATGTTATGCTGGCGGATTTGTTTGGGCACCGTCATGCGCTTGGGGACGCTGTCTTGAAAAGAGCAGCGACTCCAAGCATGCTAATGTGACGCCAAATGAGATATCTGGCTGCTGGCCTTCGTGGACGAATGCATAATTGGAAGCTCGTGATTCACTTGCGTTGGTGAGATTCAGGACAGATAAACAGAGGTTCTAAGCGTTTTGAGGTGCATTAATTCTGTTCGGATGTAGGCTGTCGTCCGCACACGTGCAGCCACGGATCGAGGCATGCGGCACCTGGTCTGCTGCTTTGAAACTCAGCGGATGAAGGTCCTTAAGCTGCTGTCAGTCATCATGAACATTTGAACTGGAACGCCGCGTTCAGTAACGGCTTATCGTCCCGAGTAACGAGTGATTGCGTACAGTGACTGAAATCGTCCATCGTTATCATCTGTACTGTACCCTGCCCGACCACATAGTCCAGTTTCAGACTGAATTCTGGACTCGCCCTCACGCGACACTCCCTCTTCATGGTCAAGTTTGCTGTGGGCCATGCCCCCCCTCCCCTTCCAGGGGCAGCACCCTACCCCTACCCCCGTCAGCCGAGTGCGGCAGACGCTCTACTGGACAGGCCTCGCTGCAGTGCTGTAGTAGTAGCGCTCCGCCGGACGGGCTCCGCTGTGGTGCTGTGGCAGCAGACGCTCCACTGGACGGGCCTCGCTGTGGTGCTGTTGCAGCAGACGCTCCACTGGACGGGACTCGCTGTGGTGCTGTTGCAGCAGACGCTCCACTGGACGGGCCTCGCTGTGGTGCTGTTGCAGCAGACGCTCCACTGGACGGGCCTCGCTATGGTGCTGTGGCAGCAGACGCTCCACTGGACGGGTCTCGCTGTGGTGCTGTGGCAGCAGACGCTCCACTGGACGGGCCTCGCTGTGGTGCTGTGGCAGCAGACGCTACACTGGACGGGCCTCGCTGTGGTGCTGTTGCAGCAGACGCTCCACTGGATGGGCTCCACTGTGGTGCTGTTGCAGTAGACGCTCCACTGGACGGACCTCGCTGTGGTGCTGTTGCAGCAGACGTTCCACTGGACGGGCCTTGCTGTGGTGCTGTGGCAACAGATGCTCCACTGGATGGGCCTCGCTGCGGTGCTGTGGCAGCAGACGCTCCACTGGACGGGCCTCGCTGCGGTGCTGTGGCAGCAGACGCTCCACTGGATGGGCCTCGCTATGGTGCTGTTGCAGCAGACGCTCCACTGGACGGGCTCCGATATGGTGCTGTTGAAGCAGACGCTCCACTGGACGGGCCTCGCCGTGGTGCTGTGGCAGCAGACGCTCCACTGGATAGGCCTCGCTGCGGTGCTGTTGCAGCAGACGCTCCACTGGACGGGCCTCGCTGTAGTGCTGCAGTAGCCACTCCGCTACTAGAGGCCGGCAGCTGGGTCGCCGTACTGACCCAGATGCTAGCGTCACGACCTGAAGTCGTGCGTCGCGTGTCCACTGGCTAACAAGGTATAGCGACCGCCGCTACGGGGATGGCAGAGCACGCAATCGGTGGCAAACAATGGCTGAGGTGGGATGCGTAATATGAGCTGTTTGATTATTCGTTCATTCGGTTAAATTCATGTGAAAAAGCGCAGAAGTTGTTATGGCAAACGTCTTTTAGCATAGTAGGTATGAAGCCATACAAGGGATGAAACGAATTATCCGGAAATGTTGTGCACATGAAGATCTCCATCCACAGCTGTTACCAAAAATAGTTCAACTAATCCAATTTAAAGACATCCCTCACAGCTCGGCCCTGTCTTTGTCCACCGAGAACCTACGCGACTTTTTATCCACTGTTCAAAATTCCCCGGCCAAGATGTTTATACTTACGGAACAAGTAGCACAACGGTTCAGTGTGATTATGGAATGTGATGTGAACTTCACCACCTACACGGCCACACGATGAAGATCGTGAATTTCACTGTGCACACAGGACGAATTCCTTGTTTCTTATCTGCAGTTGTGAGTTAATCTTGTTTGCAAAAATGTGCTTACATTTGGGCCTATCTCTTATTTTGTCACAACTTCAAAAATACAGCTCGTAAATGGCCGATGAGAGCGTTCATTGCTAGTGCGTCGTCACTCACGGATACAGCCAGCAGCAGCACATTGCATTACATATTACCAGCATGCAAAGGAAATCTCAGAGTGCTTTGGAAAATTAATTCTGGGCAGCAAATATGACGATGGAGCTACTTCAGCAGCACGAAACACGGTTGTCGGTAATCGCCTGAAATGTCAAGGATTCAAAACCCGTTGGCTTCCTCAGAGCCTCCGAACGACGACATTCAGCGTTATAGTTTTACCGAGCGGGTGAGTCGCTCACTCGACTCTCGCGCGAACAGCCCCCCCCCCCCCCCCCCAATTTGCTGAAGAAGAGTCACGTAGCCTGATTTCCTTCAGCTGTACCACTGCCCTCATTGAACAGGAAACAGATGAATTGCGTGTTCTCGTGCAGGAAGCCGGGCATTATTTCGAGTAAGTTGAGACAGCTCAAGGATGGATTAAAAATGATCAGGTGGGTATTGCAGCTTCCCTTCACCCCCAAAGGGGGTGAAGGGCAAGGGCATGTTTGGCGGCAATTATGCATGTTTGGACCTCGAAGATAATCCAAGCAAATTTCGTCGAGTCAAGCTTGTATCAGAACATTTGACGAAGGAAATACAAGCAAAATCAGATCAGTCTTTCTTTTAATTAAGATACCTTTTGGGATTTAGGCCTCCCAAGCTAGACTTGATCCTCAAGGCGGCATTCTGGATCCGCTCTTGAGCCAGGTTTTTGTTCTGGCCGGCTGTTTATTCCAGCGTTGATCAGTTTACTGATCATACACATTACAAAACGACTAGAGGTAGCGTTTCCACGATGCACAACGTGGTTCAAGAAGTAGGCTGCCTCGAAGCTTTGTTAAAGGAAGCTCTGAGGTGGCAAATAGATGTCTGTCCGCGTCAATCCATGTACAACTGAGGGGCTAAATATTTCTAAGTATTTATTTGTGAGAGCACAAATGCAATACATTAACATATTAACATTTATGTAGATGCTTCAGCGCAGACAAGTGACGCCAGGTGACTTTTTGCAAGTCGTCAGTCAGTCTCCATGAAGATACAGCTTTTGAAAAGATACACTCAGCACTATGCGTGTACCTTGGGAAGGTCATATTTGGGGGCACTTCTGTTCGACATGTGAGCCCAAGCCATACGACAGGACTCCAAAGATGCGCAACTGCACGACAGGACTCCAAAGATGCGCAACTGCACGATAGTAATAGTTCAAGGTGAGTGGTAAGGGGGGATATCACGACGAACTCCTTGTTGTGTTTTTCGTGATAAGCGTGCCACGCACTCAAAGGAGAAAAGATGACTTTCTTGCGGCCAGCTAACCTAAGAAAATTTTGCTATTTTCCTGTTGAGAAAAATCATGCGATGCGTGCTCCTCGAACGTTTTCTTTCCAATGGCCTTCTATGGCAGACTGTGTAGACCAGCCTGAAAAATGGGTTGTAGATTGTTCATAAAGTGCGCGAGCGCACCATTCCGCAAAACAAACGTTTGGGGTAGGAAGGGGGGGGGGGGTAGACGCATAACTGTTATTAGCTGAGCGCTGCGTGTCTGGCCACTAGCGTGTGCCACATCATTTTATTTCCAGCCAAAAATCTACAGGTGCAGAATCATTTCAATATGGCGCATAGCCGTTATTTCAGCCTGGTGAAGCTAAGTGCCCAAAAATGCGTTACTCAATGACCTAAGCGTCGTCTGCAGCTCGCCCGTATGCAAAACCTGCTCGTTTCCGTGGACGCCTTGGATTGGCTTTCCCAGATGACTGAAACTGAGCGAATGGCCTGAGTGATGTGAGATGTAAGACATGATGGCGCAGGTGAGCCATGGTCAGGAACACCAGTTGGGGTAAAGGGATGGGGAGGATCGCGAAGAGACCAGCTTTGAATTTGTATTCTTTGACATGTGGCACATCATTTCATTTTTTCCACAACTTTCATGTGTAACATTCCGAATGTGTTGCGGAGAGGTGAAAAGGGTTTCTGATCTACCGAATATTGTAGGTGACGGAAACTGAGAGCGAGCCGGCTGGAGACAACATTGCAAAAATCAAAACGAATTTCAAGTGGGCGCAGGCCCATAATTGCAGAAAAGCAAAATATGGAGGGATGGGGTGAAAAGGGGAAGAGGGAAGCGTGATCAGACCGGTACACTTTCGTTTTTACGTGTACCCCATGATTCTCTTTCGGTCAAATATCCTTCCGTGAGCAGTTATGCAAATGTGGCGCACGACTCGATTTGGTTAAGATGACAGCGCAATGGAATGAAATAAGCAGTTTTGCTGTCATCAGCTGGCCTTGATAAAACCGCTGTCTGGAAAAATCTGCTTACCTCGTCTACATTTATCTGCAAGTCATGTTTCCAGTAGTTGCAACTAGCCGGATCAGCTGTTGTGATTGCGGTGTGGTTCTTGAGCGACGCGGGCGCACTGTACTAAGAAATACGGGGGCAGTGGGGCGGGGAAGGAGGAGCGGTACGGTCCCGACCACGCCAGCACGGAGTTTCTATTCATTGTCATTTCTGCTTGTCCCGCGGCACAAAGACCTAAATACCATCTTCGGAATACGAGTTATTTATTTTTAGCGTTTGATGCAGCTAGGAAAAATGAATATGTGATGTAATATCAAGAATTTGAAGATCATTGTACCAAAACTGTGTTCAAATATTTTTCGGGGCATCTAAGCATGTCCAATTAGACAAAACCTTGAAAAATGCTTCATCTCAACAATTTGCCTGGTGACGCGTACTTGCCTTTGG